AAATGTGTACTCTTAACATATTTTTAACAAATTTGCGTACCGACGCGAAGAAATCCCCGATTACAAAAGGAAAAATTCACCTATCGGTGTTTTGACGAAACTTTTTGGGAGTCAATAACTGTGTTGCCAAAATATATATTAATAAATAACATTTAACTAGGTTGTTAGTTTTTTTAGAACCAAAGTTGAAATGGCTAATAACTGTAATGGGGCCAAAGACTATACAGTTTCCCCTACTTAACTAATTAATGAACAACTGCAACTGGTACTTAAGGGATCATAGCATGTGTGAAGTTTAATTGGAAATTAATATTAGACTGAGTTTTAACGTAATTTCTAAAACATACGAGAGCACATTTTGAAGTTCGTAGAATGGGGGGTAAGGTGTGGAAATAAAAATCCAAATTTATTTTACTTTTTCAATATTCACCTGCTACCCGAATACATTTTTCGTTTCTTTCAATTAATTTATATTTTGGCAACACAGTGATTGTATACCCTCAAAAAAAATATTTGTCCTTTGTCTAAAAAATACGCCGAAACTGCTTCCTTCACTTCGTCATCAAATCATTTAAAAAGTTTTTCCCGCGAAGTTCATTTTTTTAAGTTTGGAAAAAGATAATAATCACTGGAGGTCAGGTCAGGACTATTGGGCGAGTGTGGCAAAATTTCGAAGCCCGCCTTCTGCAGGGCAGCCATCGCAACATGGCACTTGTGAACAGGCGCGTTGTCGTGTAGAAGAAGGATTCCTTTGGTCAATTTTTCCTTTTTTTTTCCTTTATGGCTTCCTTCAATTGTTCTAGAATTGAAGCGTAGTAATTTTCGATTATGGAGACACCTTTATCTTTATAATTAATCAATAAGATTCCTTCCGAGTCCCAAAAGACTGTCGCCATGATTTCCAAGCCGATTGTGCCACCTTAAATTTCTTGGGGGGTGATGCGCCCTTTTTGTGCCACTGCATAGAGCCCAGTTTGGACTCAGGTTCATAATGGAGAACCAAATTTTCGTCACCGATAACAATTCGAGCCAACATTCCATCTTTGTCTTCCATACAGAGGTCCAAAAATGCAGGAGAACACTCCACGCGCTGTTGTTTTGAGGCGACGTGAGCATTCTAGGCACCCATCTTGCGCTGAGTTTAATCATGCCAAGATGAATATGAAGAATTTTGAAAATGGTTGTATCTGATACTCCAACAATTTCTGCGGGTTGTTTTTTCTTCAGGCAGGCATCTTCTAATATAAATTTTTCGACTTTTTGAATAATTTCCGAAATGGTCACCTCGATCAGCCTTCCTGGCCGTGGGTCGTCTTCAAGTGGATCTCTGCCTTGTTTAAAAAGGCTATGTCACTTGTAAACCATAGTTTTACTTGGACAAGAGTCTCCGTAAACGGATTACATCGTTTCCAGTATAGTCTGAACTGATTTTCCGCGCTTGGTAAGTAAATTTATAACAGCACGGAACTCGATTTTCTCCATATTTCACAATTTCTTCCCGATTGACTTGTTTGGTTGACGATAACTCAAAGACTAATGATCTAATTACAATAAAATCCGGTATTTATACTTATAATGAGTTCCTCAATAAGCACGTAATTCAGCGACGTCCCCGCTTATTACCGCTTACTCCGCGAACTTAAAAACGTACCTACGTATATAACTAGTTTTCAAAGTATTTAAAGTAAGTAGGTTAGTGTTCAGCCACTTAGCGATCCTAGCAAGGCCTTCTTCAGCAGATCTACGAACAGAACCTAAGGAGTCACCAGTAAATATTACTGCAGTTATTTGCATAGGAGATTATATTGCCCTCGTTGGTTAGATTATTTAGGTAGATTAAAAACAAAATAGGACTCAGGACACTGCCCTGTGGAATTCCGAATTATTATATTATTATACATGATTCATCGCTTAAATATTCACCTCTCTCTACTTTCTGCTTGCAATCCTTAGATAATCTTTAAATAAATCTAAGTGAGTACCTTTAATACCTATATCCTCAAGCCTGTGCATAGGGATTGATTTTACATATTTCCAAGAGATCCTCTTATTCGGCGGACTTGGATTGCAGCTTGGAGAAATTATAAATCTTGGCTACCTAAATGGACTATCACCATTTGCACCGAACATTTTGATAAATCATATTTCATTCCCAAAGTTATCAATAAACGAAGATTAACCGATACTCCTGCACCAACCTTGAACGCGTGGGACGTAACGTCTAGCTCTAATTATATCAATAGATTTTTCTTCTTGAAAATATTTTAGAATTTTGACAAGTTTACAATTATGACTTCTTATATTTAACTGAACATAGGCCTCATTTGTCTCATAGAGGGATAGTTGCCACAATTGGCAGGCAGGTTTTTAACCATAGTAGATATCAGGAATATGCAGCATCCTGATCTACTCCGCTGCTGAAAAGTTATCCATCTCTAGTTTCATTATGTTTTGTAATCTCTGACAACATTCACTGAATGATATGGCGAATCTCTTATGTCATTACTACATGGCTATTGTCATGGTTATATATATATATATATATATATATATATATATATATATATATATATATATATAAAAGAAATAATACCAATGTGTTTAGTAGCTACTTTAATAACAGACTTTGTATAGACTTCACTCATTGCATCCTAATGATGGTATAGATATTGTTTGTTTGGTTCTAATTGTAGTGATACATGTACTCAGTCAAAGGAGTAGTGAGAAAAAATTATTTGTTAATATAATTTGTATGAAGGAATATAGAACTCATGTTTGTATAAAATCTGGGCTTGACCACATATGATGTACGTAATATTAATGATGTATTTTTTTAATTAAAATATTTGGAATGTTTCTATTAACTGTAATGATTATCTGGTGGAACTTAAAATGTTCGCATAACAAGCATTATAAAGCACACTACTTTACATAAACAGACCTCATATGAATTATAGACATAATTATTTCATGATTAGAATTGTAAAATTTATAAATTTGTATAACTTTGATATTATTATGGGGTATATATATTGTTCTCATCTGGTTGGGTTCTATAAATATATAGTTATAAATTAAAATGAAAAGATAAACATACATAAATATCAATAAAATAAAATAAAAATACAATAAATACATAAAGATCCAACCAGATGGAAGCCCTCGGCAGGGGCGACCAGACGGCCGAGGGTTAGGAGGAAAGGGAAGAAACCGGCGGACGTTGCGGGCGGTATCGAAAAGCACTGCCTTCTGCATTTAAGCCCGGAGCGGTCCATCACGGAGTCCCAGTGGCCTCAGATGACCCGAGAGGCTGACTGGGATTAGCCCATTCGCAGAGACGACTACAGGAATAATTTCGGGCGGCAGACCACCCCACAATCAGTCACCTTATGAGTCAGGTCCAGATATTTTGTTCGCTTATCCGTTTCGGCTTTCACGAGGTTCTCGTCATACGGAATGGTAATGTCGACCAAAAATATCCTTGACTGTGCCCGGTCCAACAGCACAATATCAGGCTTATTCGCAAGAATAGTCCTGTCTGTGATGATGGCCCGGTCCCAGTAGAGCCTGGCGCGGTCATTTTCGAGCACGGCTTCCGGCAAGTACTTGTAATACGGCAATTTCCGGTCCACGAGACCGTATTTCAGAGAGAGCTTTTGATATAGAATTCTGGCTGCTAGGTTGTGTCTGTGCAAGTACTCAGAGTTAGAAAGCGCCGAACAACCGGAGATGACATGCCTAAGCGACTCACCGGGGTGGCGACAAGCTCGACAGACGTCGACGGTGCCATCCCTTAGGATGTATCTCCGATAGTTGTTGGTTTTAATAACCTGATCCTGTATCGCACAGACAAAACCCTCGGTTTCCCCGAATAGGTCACCGAAACGTAGCCAGTTGAGGGAGGCGACTGTAACTACGAAGAGCTCATGTAGAGCCCTGTAGTACCTTCCGTGGAGCTCCTTCCCTTCCATACGGCCTCAGTCGGAAATGCTAAGCACTGCTGGGTCTTGCCATTGCTCGTTGGCTAAGGATAGAGGGGTAAGCCTTTTATCACCAGAAATGACGTCATTACAGAATGGATCATCCGATCTCGCCAGGAAGTAATGACGGAGGCTGCACACTTCACGATTATGCATGGTGAGCGCGCTCAGAAAACCTCGCCCACCATGCTTTCGCGGCAAGTACAGCCTCATTACCGACGATCTCGGATGATGCATCCTATGGGACGTCATGGTAGTGTGGACTTTTCTATCCAGGGCGTTAAGTTCAGTCTGAGTCCACCTGAGTATGCCAAAGGTATACATGAGGACAGGCATGACCCAACCGTTATATGCGTGTCTCTTATTCACACCGGACAAAAGGCTATTAAGCACTTAGGCCAAGCGTGCATAAAACACGTCGCAAACTGACTGTGTCATACCAGCCTCATCGATACCAATGTTCTGTGACATACCCAGGTATCGGTATGTTTCAGCCTCGGAAAGGGTCCTTAAGTTGATGGGCATAGATAAATCTATGCCTTCAGAGTTAGCAACCCTTTCCCTTTCAGCATGGAGGACCGCACACTTATCCGTCCCCAGCTCCATTCCAATGGAATTGCTAAATTCACAAGTGATGTTTAGCAATTCCATAACATGAGAGCGACTGGAGGCGAATAACTTGAGGTCATCCATAATATTTGTCTAAAGATCTTAAACTTATATATTTTTTTTAAATATTCATAATACTGTTTTTAACTTTAAGGTGTTATAAACTAGTTAAAATGAATTTATTTTTGATCGGGCTTTTGTATTCTGTTGTTTTTTTTTTAATTCTAAAAGTCTAATGGAGACCCTGATTTAAAATAATATAAATACTACTTATTTTAGGCATTTACAATATTTACTAAGAATATTGTTGATTTTTATAATAATAATAGAAACAGATAAAATCTTAGAAATTATTTAAGCATGATCTAAAATTTATATAGGATACAATTTATTGTACTTATATAAATATATTCATTCACCAACATCTTCTTCACCGGCAAATGATAAAAGTTGATGAGTGGGTTTCTGCCTTAATTTATTTTTTCTCTTCAAGCTTTTACTGTCAGGTAACATAGTTGGCTTTAATTTTGCTTGAAAAATAACCTTTTGGCTAAGATCAGCTTTGGATTCATTTTTTTCTTTTTCTAACCTCTGGCTTTCTGCTTCAGCTTCCTCAGCTGTAAGATCCCCAGATTTTAATACCACTACCTGTGGTTTTTCACTTTCTTCATCATCAACAAAATCTTCCTCATTATTATCTAGTTTATCAAACTTGTGATTTCTATCATCATATCCTGCTTCTTTTTTTAACATTTTCAAAAAATGAGGGTCTTCTGGTTTTATGTAACTAACATTCCTTTTTCTATTCATTATTGCAATTTTTTTGAATAGCTGACTCTCTATTAGATCTGCAAAATAAGAATTCAATAAAGTTATTTGCTGAATTTGTTTTCTTAGTGAAAGATAAGAGTAGGCTTATGTCTTTAGCTACACATAAACAATATAAAGTACCTAGGTATATATTTAATGTAAAGTATAATAAAACTATACTAGATGCTAAACTCCTTTTGTGCTCAGGAGTTCATATTATATATTTCAATGGCATTGGATTTTTTTACCTTTGTTAAGGTTTATTAAGGTTTAAATTGAAAAATATAGTTTAAGTTTAAGATAATTATAAAATTGTAAACAGCCTTATATACACTTATAATATTTTTGATAACTATATTTTTTAAAACTCTATTTTTATGTATAGTGAATTAATAGTTATATATGAAATTTTTTAAAAGTTATGCACTTATGATAGGCGAACTTAAAGTATTTTAAAACAAAAACTTAGAGAATCAATACAATTACGCAAAGCATTTGATGATTGTTTAATAAATTCAAATACAGATATAGAATATTTTTTTTAAATTACAGTGTTTACAATATTTTATTTTTATTTTATTATGTTATAAGTATGATATAGTATAATAATTTAAATATTTTTAAATAATGTACACCTTTTCTCGATTTTTTACACCAAGTTTTGTAACATTGAAAAAAATATTTGTAATTCTACATTTTTTTTCTTTTTGCCGATGGATGTATAGTGTGTGTGTGTGTAGTGTATGCTCATGTAGGTATATATTATGATAGCCTAATACACATTCATGGAGTATTAAATTATTCAAGACCACTAGACATATTAAATAATATTAATATATATTAAAATAAAATAAAAATAAAATAATTTATTCCCCGAACCTCCTAACATTACACAGGTATGTACCACACTCTTGCCTATTTCTACTGCTAAATTAAATTTACGAAAGTAACAAAAGTGTTTACCAGTTTGTATTTGTTACTACATCATGCCTACATATATTCATAATAGTTCATGGTTCATATAATACATCACATTCCTACAGCTAATTTAACAGACACCAATGTCTGCATTAATATTAAATAATAAGCTATACATAAATTAACTAATATTTAACAATAATTAATTAAAAAAGATGTCTTTAACTACAAAACTTCTAAATAACAGTGAGTTGAGCAAAACAAATGGCACAATTCATTCAATATATGTGTTCCAGGTTTCTGAAAGCAGAGATGAAGTCTGTTCCATTTATTTTTGTAGTGTTATAATGTTTTAGTATAAATCAAATGCTAGTAATAAAATATATCTCAGAGTACTGATGCAGTGCGTCAAGTAAAACAATACACCTGTTACTCAGTAACAAATACATTCGCTTCTTTATGCTGCGCAGCAGTGGCTGCACTTCTATGTTCCCATCTAAATGGTATAGGAAGCCAATTATCAATTAGAAAATAAAAAGCTAATCTAAACAGTATAAAAAAAATGACAATGCATCAGTAGCCTTCTTTGTTTAAAATAGGCTGCAGGTAAATAAACATATGTAGCTAGATTTGCAAAAATTCGTAAAGTAGTGAATCAAACCACATCTGATATGCATTCGCGTGAATGTTAGGGTAAATCCTACCTGGACTTTAACGCGCTGATGATGAAAACAATTTGGAAGGTCTATCAGTTCGTTACTTACAATGAACTAGTATTTATCCTTCTAAGATCCTTAGATTATTCTATAGTACCCAGATGCCTAGCTTCTTCGTACTTATTATTTACACGACCGTAACTGACCGTGACCATATCCTTAGAGGTACATTCGCAAATTATAAAGTTGTATGGGTATATTCGTGAACACAGAACACTATTCCTAGCGGAGTTCGTGATAGTACTGGGCGTTAAGCGTTTTATTCAGAAACACTTAAAAAACAGTTTGTCAAAGAAAAACGAACGAACAGTTTCTCGAAGATCCAACATTAGGTTTAAAAACGAACGAAATAAATACAGCTCTACATTTCATTCTCGGAACTGTCTCAATCGCAAAACGTTTGCAAACTACATGTTCGTTTGGTAGATTCATAGGTTGGATCTAAGTTAACACTCTATTACTATTGTTTTATGAACTATTGTCGTATAAATAGAAAACAGTTATAGTAACTACTTTCGATTTGATGTTACGCTTAAAGCTAAAATAAATCTTATTTATATCTATACACAATTCAAATTTGGTTGTAGACGGTTGAACAAAAACGAACGGACCGAGAAAAAACGGTATTTTCGGCTTTCTCTTAGTCTTTTATGTAACTGTTTATGAGGGTCGGCTTGGTCAAACGTACGTTTTTTTGTTTTAAAATTTAATAAAATAAATCTTATTTATATCTATACACAATTCAAATTTGATTGTAGACGGTTGAACAAAAACGAACGGACCGAGAAAAAACGGTATTTTCGGCTTTCTCTTATTCTTTTATGTAACTGTTTATGAGGGTCGGCTTGGTCAAACGTACGTTTTTTGTTTTAAAATTTAAATCAGTTTTAGTTGTCGTCAAGTAACACTTGTCTACGCTTACTGTGTTAGTACGTAGTAGGTACGTACTAACACATTCATTCTGTGGTGTTAGCTAATTTCGAATTTCCAAAAAAGTGACTGTATGTTTACACGCGAACAGTGTTTTGTGTGATTTATTGTATATATTAATTGTTTAATAGTTATGTAGGCAATTTTGTGAATATAGGTAAATTTGTGAATAATAGTTTTGTATTTTTGTTATTAAAACATTTCGAATTTCCAAAAAGTGACTGTATGTTTACGTGCGAAAAGTGTTTTGTGTAATTTATTGTATATATTAATTGTTTAATAGTTTTGTAGGTAAATTTGTGAATAATAGTTTTGTACTTTTGTTATTAAAACGTTTATTTTGTGTAATTTTGTGACGTACTTTCGAAAATGTCTCAAAGAAAAAATTGTAGATAGTGAAATATGGGACTACTTCGAAAAGGTGGAAAATTTGGGAAAGGCGATCTGCATTACGTGCAGAGAAAGTTACAGCTATAAATCGACTATAGCGAACCTGAAAAACCATTTTAAAAGAAAGCACGTAAGTTTATACCCCTCACTACCATCACAAGTGAAAAGGTCCGAGAATCTACCCCCCACCACTCCGTCAGCCTGTAGTGTAACTGAACTGATGCCAACAAGTATTGCCAGCTCATCTGCAACAAATAGTATAGAGGAGAACCGACAAAAAGCCTCACTTAGTACAACTCCCTCTGGGGATAATGGACCAAAAGGTGCCACACAAACCCCAAACCCGAAACAAAAAAGGCAAAAGATAATGGATACTTATGTCCCAAAAAATTCTAAACAGCAAAATGAGCTAATTGATCGCGATGTGTTAGAGCTCTGCATACACTCTTTTCATCCTTTCTGCATCGTGGAAGAACGTGCATTTAAAAAAACTAATGCGTTGGATACCGGAATATACTTTACCATCCCGGAAAACCTTATCCAATAGCCAATTAACTTTGCTATATAATAACACAAAAGAAATAATTAAGTCACTTATTAATACGGATTGTGATGCAATCTGTGTCACTTTAGACTTGTAGATGTCACGGAAAACGGAGTCGTACATAGCTGTCACTGGACATTTCATTAGTCGTGACTTTCAATTGAAAACTATTATTTTAGATTGCTGTAGTTTTTCTGGACATCACACAACAGTGAATATAGCTGCTGAATTACGGCGTATATTAGATGACTGGGATTTAACCCGCAAAGTCAACTTTGCGGTTTCTGATAACGCCTCCAATGTTACCAATGCCGTGAAAGACCATTTGGGCTGGAAGCACTATGGCTGTTACGCCCATACTCTCAATTTAGTTTTACAGTATTTTAAGGACAATTGAGGAAAAATTAAAAAAAATGTTGCATTTTTTTCATAAAAGTACCACGGCTTCAGAAAAATTAAATCAGCAACAGTTTTTAAAAAAGCACCGAAACGGCTTATACAATCTATAGAAACAAGGTGGAATTCCACATTTTATATGCTAGAGCGTATCACACAAATAAAGGATGAAGTTAAAATTACCATAGCTCTTCTCAACAACTATTTACCCATCATTTCGGAAGAAAAGTGGTCAATATTTCCAGAAATATGCCGAATTTTGAAGCCCTTTGAGGAAATGACTGCATGCATGAGTGGTGAGAAATATGTCACTGGAAGTGATGTGATTGTGGTTGCCAGAATTTTGAAGCAATCGCTTGAAAGTACGGTACCACCCAATTCTGGAAATATTGAATCTTTTTTGAACGCACTACGGTTCAATTTTAACAAAAGGCTTGGAAACGTAGAAAAAAGTGGTACATTTTCTTTGTGAACTTTCTTAGACCACAGGTACAAGATGGCCGCTTTTTCGGACCCAACAGGTGCGGAAAATACAAAACGTTGTGTACAAAATCACGTCCAAGACCTGATTGCACGGAATTGGCATCCAACATCCGACACCGATCCGTCCACGTCGTCGGCCTCAAGCAGCAGTTACAACACGGCCTGGAGCATTTTTGACCAATTTATGTCCACCACTGTCACGAAGCAACAAGGAACACCTCTTTCGAAAGCTATCAAAGAGGTGCAAATATACGTCGACGATGACATTTTGCCACGTAAAGACGCTTCTGGTAACCTGTCAAACCCTCAAGCCTGGTGGTATGGTCATCGCCATATTTACCCAAACTTATCAGAAATTTTCAGAACCAATTGCAACATAGTTGCAGCATCTGTGAGTTGTGAACGTATGTTCAGTAAAACTGGCCAAATAATATCAGACAGGAGAGCCAGTTTAAAGACGGACAAAGTGCGGCAGCTTATGTTTTTAAACGTAAATTTAGACCAAAACCGATTTAATTTGTAAACATCTTTTGTTCTAGTATTGTAGATAGTGTAAATAATGAAAACGTGTATATAAAATGAACTTTTAAATACGCCTGTTACATTTGTCAGCCAGTCCTAAGCCTGGAAAAAGAAGGGAAGTTCGTTTTATTATTTTGTAAACAAACATATGGTGAAGTCATTACGTACACTGGCGGGATATCTTTTAGAAAAACTGTTTTTTTTTTAAAACTGTTTCTCAGAACTGTTTCTCATTTCAAAAAAACGGTTTCGTTTCGTTTTACAAAAAACCTGGAACGACCCAGTACTAGTTCGTGAAAGGACATAAACACATAAACATAATATTTTACATCACAGATCACTATATACAGTTTTCAAATTTTCAGGTATACAAAAAGTACTCTGTGATACTAGGATACTAAGGCGAATGATACACGCCTGATATTTATCACGATCTGGAACGCGATCTGGAATGACGTATCGCGATCCATATCGACATACCCTACACGTTCATTACGGATCACGTCAGTATTGGGCACAAAACTGTCAAGTGCAGACATATCTAAAATGGACCGAAATGTAGAAAAAGCTTTTTTTAATAAGATAGGGTGTCAAACGAGCACACAGTCCACCTGATAGTAAGTGGTTGCTGTAGCCTATACACATCTACATCTATCCTCGATTACGAATCAGAATGCAGATGCGTTGTCACCCGTGAGGACGGATAAGATGGAATGCCTCGTTTCCAGTAAAATGGGTCTCTAGTTCTCTACACTCACCATACGCAACACAACAGCATCAAGCTACTATTTTACGCTGGTATTCTGTGAGAGCGTGGTCCTTCCCCGGCCTAGCCGACCCATTCGTGCTACAACTATACTAATAATATAACTGCAGCATGGCTCTACCACATATAAAAGCTTGCTTAAAGCTTGTGTGGGTATTTTTTTATTATATGCGAGCAGCTATGCAGGTCTAGGTAAAGAGACCAGTATCACTGCGACCTAAAAGATTTATTGTGATCGCTGCTATAGTTCACCGCTAAGCCCTATGTCTTCAATGAATCGAAGGAGTTGCTTAGCCGTGAGAAATTTCACTTCTTCTGGGCGGAGAAGATAGTGTCCCAGATGAGTGTTACGTTTGCGCATTAAGGGTTCGCAATCGGTTAGAATGTGTAGAGGCGTTTCTTCCGTTATGGAACAGAACCGACACATCCTTGAATTGCTTAGTCCCAGGATGGACATGTGCTTTTTAAGACAACAGTGTCCAGTTAGGGCTCTTGTTAGAATGCGCAATTTATTTTTATTTAATCCCAGGGCTTCTGAAACGAATTTACGATCAAAGGCCCGGATTAAGGTTTTAGAATGTTTTAAGCCTGGTGTGTCAGACCAGATCTTAAGTGATTTATTGTGATAAAGAGTTTCAATGGTCAGGGCTAGGCTTCTTGAGATTCCACAAAATGGCTCGGGTCTAAATTGTGTGCACTTTGAGCCCTCCCGTGCAAGTTTGTCGGCAAATTCGTTGCCTACAATACCCTCGTGACCCGGAACCCATCTTAAAACGACCCTGTTGTTACAACCCAGGGCGTTTAAACGGTTCACGCAGTCTCCAACTAGCTTTGAGTTCACTAAGTTTGATCACAGCGCCAGCAGTGCTGCTTGACTATCAGAGTTTATGCAAATTTTATGGTTGACGTAGTGATTTTGCAGATTTCCGCACACCGAAGTATGGCGAAAATTTCTGCCTGGAAGATAGAGGTGTATCTACCCAAATTCATACTAAGTTTGAATTTGGTGCGTTCCCCGTAAATTCCAAAGCCTACGTCGAGGCCCATTTTAGACCCATCGGTATACCATATGAGACTACTGACCTTACAGATAACCTGGCCATTCGGCCAGTCTTCTCTAGAGGGTAATTCCACTATATACTTTTATCTAAAGTGTGTAGTAGACGCATGATATCTGAGATCATGCATAAGACCAGTGATTCCTTAATTGAGTCGAGCATGGATCTCAATCTGTAGGAGAGCAAGCTCAGACCGCCCTGGGCGTTAATCCTATACAAACTAGCCCTCGCCTCCTTGTCTAGATAGAGATCAAGGGGCGTTAGGCATAGAAGTGCATTAGAACCGCTCCAGGCGATGATCGCATAGCTCCAGTTGCCATTAGGCAGGCAGTCCTTTGTAGACTATTTAGTCTGTCCGCAGTCGTCTTTTGGTTGGCCTTGTTACACCAGACAATAGAGGCGTAAGTGAGAATCGGCCTCACTATGCTGCTGTACAGCCATAGGAACATACTGGGACGCAAGCCCCAGTTGTTCCCGACCAAACGACTACACGTTCCTAAAGCAATTTTTGCCTTATGGCATACGTTGATAAGGTGAGAGTTCCACGTTAGTTTTTGGTCGATTGTTACGCCCAAGTATTTAACTTCCGTGGAAAATGGTACTTCTTTACCATTAAGTTTTAGTTGGACTAATTTGTCCAACCGTCTCTTTTTGGTAAAGGGTATTATAACGGTTTTATCAGCATTAACTTATAAACTGTTATCCCTACACCAGTTATTTATGGTGTTTAGGGCTCTTTGTATTATTGACGATAAAGTACTTTGGCAAAAGCCCCTCGCAATGATCACAAGGTCATCAGCATAACCCAATGTGTCAATGCGTAGGTCTGCCATTTTGCACAATAGTTGTGCAACCACAAGAGTCCAAAGAAGGGGTGACAAAACACCTCCTTGTGGGCAGCCTCTTGTGGTTGCAACTTCAATCGAAGTTTGAAACAGCGCTATTTTTGCCTTTCTGTTTGAGAGCATCGATTTCACCCATCTGATGGTTGTGGGGTCAACTATTTTAGATGTTAGGTCCCCAATCAGCAGTGATGTGGGGCTATTGTCGAAGGCGCCCTCAATATCTAGAAAGGCAGAATAAGCTATTTCTTTATCCTCCAGTGCTTTTTCAACCCTGTCAATGACACTGATCAGGGCTGTTTCCGTAGATTTGCCTCTGCGGAAAGCATGCTGGTTGTAATGTATGGGCCTCGTAGCTAGAACTACATCCCTTATATATCTATCTATAACCTTTTCCAATGTCTTAAGAAGAAAGAAAGATAGGCTTATAGGTCTAAAGGACTTTGGTAAAGCGTAGTCCTTTCTACCAGCCTTAGGTATAAATAGAACCTTGACAATTGTCCATCGTTCTGGAATATATCCCCATGCAAAACTTGGTCTGAAGATTTTCACCAGATAAGGAAGAAGGATGTCGATACCCCTCTGTAGTTGGATGGGAATTATTCCATCCTCCCCGCTTGATTTAAATGGTTCAAAGGAGTCAACAGTCCACTGCACCAGGTTTGGCCCTTTTATCTTTGCAGTCCTACGCCAGTCCTCATTGCAAGGCCTTCGTAGGGCTCTGAAAGAGTTCAAGGCTGAAGTCTTGTATGACCCTGGTAAGTGGGTTGACGCTAGTAACTCCAATGTTTCTGTTTCACTATTAGTGAAGTTACCATCCGGCTCTTTAAGAAGCCCGATCTGATTAGGTTTAGCTTTCGATAGCATCTTGTGTAGTCTTGCACTGCGAGGCAAAGACTCAACTTCCTCGCATGGCTTCCTCCACGATGCTCTCTTGGCTTTCCTGATTTCTTTATTATATTCAGTTAGGGCTGCACTATAAATATCCCACTCTTTAGGTTTTTTAGCCCTATTAAATAGTTTCCTGGTCTTTTCCCTAAGGTCTTTCAGCTTAGAATTCCACCAAGAAACTTTTCGTGTTGAGGTCTTGGTTTTGACGGGACAACTGTCCTCGAAGGCTTCACGGATACCTACGGTTACTGTCTCCGTCGCTAACTCCAGACCTTCAATTGTTTTGATGCTTTTAGAAAACGTTTCCAAATTCCTCCTTAGGCTATCTCTGTAGATATCCCAGGAGGTCGCTTTCGGATCCCTAAAAGTAACGGTTTCAAAGGTTGGTGATGCTCCAATC